ATTACATCCATAGCATATCACATTGGCTGAGGCGTTCAAATTTTGAGAGACTTGAAACTTTCTTTTCCGCTCAGGCTCAAAGGCAACAGGTTTGCTCTGAATGTTTTGCTTCTGCTCATTTTGAGGCGGTCGTCTGTTGGTCGTTCGGATCTTTTACTGATTACTGATATGCCCGGTTTGCCGCTTCAATTTCCTTGCCCTCTGTTGTTGTAATATTTTTAAAATTTGATCCGAAAGAAATGAAATATCATCCTCATCCACTTCATCAGCATCAATATCCTCAACGGTAAAACCAACTCCTTTGTTTGGCTGCAACTTCAAATGGTTCAGCTCATAGTTTTGGAGAATCCCAATCAAAGCATCAAGAGACATTGTTTTGATTTTCTCTATTTCTTCGAGAGCAACCACCTTTGGTGCAAACCTCTTTGTGATTGTTCTTAACATCTTATTGACGAGCTTTCTTTCTTTATAAACGAAACCGAGCATGTGTGCTTGGTTGATGATGTCTTTGAATCGACTGCTAAAGTCGAAGATAGTCTCATCTTCCTTCATCTTTAGGCTATCGAACTGACTTTCCACCATTTGTAACTTTGTGGCTCACACCTTATCAGACCCTTCAAAAGTCACCAACAAAGCATCCCAAGTAACTTTCGCAGTTGTGCATTTCGAGATGATTTTGAAAAGAAATTATCTACTCCATTGAAAATGGCGTTAAAGCTCTAGAGTTGGCATTGCTCATATCTTTTTCTTCAGCTGTGTATTGAGTTTTCGGCTTTGGAACAAGCGGAGCCGGAGTATCTCTACCAAAAATTTCAATAGCCTCGGCAAGCTTCATGGGTGGTGTCCATCCATACTCGACTGAATCCGAAGCTTCATCACTGATGGACATAATGTACACCTTCATTTTCACCTTCCAATATATGTAGTTCGATTCATCGAACAATGGTGGTCTTGACGTCGAGCTTCCGTTCTTTGACATCTTTAAGTAGATCTCTCATCCTTAATCTTTTGAAGAGTTGGCTTTCATACCAATTGACGGTCCCACAAGATGTATTTTTACACCTTAAACTCCAATTCTGATCACTCTTAAACGATCAGCGAAATGGAATGCAAACTCAAAAGGTTTACTGTGTTAAGAGTGATGTTGTCTGCTTGAGATTCGAACAACAAACAAGCAACAAAAAGTGCAGTGCAGAGTGAATTAAAACAAACAGCACATCGAAGTTTGTTGACCCAGTTCAGCCCTTAATCGACCTACATCTGGGGGTACCAACCCAGGGAAATTCCACTATAAGAAAAGCAGGAGCTAGATACAAAAACTCCTCACACACACTTCACAAATCAACAGCCACAAACCCAACTAAAATGTATTGGTTTCCCTACCACATACAAGTGCATCTTCCTTCGCAAAGGCAAGCATGCAAGGCCTCGACCTCCATTGGTTGTGCTATGAAATAGGACGTTGTTGTAGGTAGCTTGTCACCTCCTCCTCCTTTAACTCTCCTTGGAATCCCGTTTGAACCAAACAAACACTCGGCAGTTTGTCGACACAGCAGACTGTTGTGATTCCTTCAGGATGTGATTTTGGCTTCAAATCTCCAGCAACTTCGACAAGAATCAGGCCCAATGTAATAGATAAAAATCCTCCCAGATTTTTCTACTCAAAACATGGTCTAACCTCCCACAAAAATCCCTCAAAATAAAAGAGAACACTCCCCCTCAACTAGAAGTGAAAATCAACTATTATACCATGGGATTTAGGCTTTCCCTTCGGTGAAGATTAGTAGAACTCTTCAAGTTCTCCCTCTCTACTTAGAACACGAAAGATATTACATTTTCTCTCTTAGAAAATTATGAAAGCCCCAATTTTCACAATTCCATGGTTAGTGTATATATATACATACACAAACCCACTTCTTCCAATCAACATTCGACAACAAATGGACTCAAAATGGTCAAATATGCCAAGACACATCTCATGACACATATCTATCCATATGGGATGAAATTGATATGTCAAACTCCACATAAATGCCTAGAAGGAAGAGATAGTCAAATATTACTTCTTTTTGTAATGGGTGTTGGAAACCTTTTTCTTCTTTTATTTTTGACCTTTTAGCATGCAATTTTGTGGATCAAAGCCCTTTTGTCTTTATATGAAGTAGGACGGTGAGATATATATATATTTTGTCTCACTTTGAAGCTTTTTCAATGACCAGAACATCAGACCTTGATGAAACGGACTGAGTCTTCCTTCCTTTTTCTTCATTTCTTTTTGACTTTCCATTTTGATGCAATCACGAGGGACAAGGTATTTTGTCTTTGATTACAGTTGAACATTGAGATAAACAATTTATCTAATGTTGGAGCTTTTCAAAGACCAATATATCAGATCTTGAACCGAGCATCAAGAGCATATTTGAAGACATGCAGGCATCATCAACTTGGTTGTCTAATATGTTTGCGGATCCAAAAAGGGTAGTGTCCCTTCCTTGTGCCTTTTGTCAATGAAACAAACAGGATTTCAATTGTTTTTTATCTCTTAAAAAGATTTTTTCCAATTCAAAATATGTGGAAAAACATTCTACATCAGCAGCCATCGTAGACAATTTAGCAGCCACACATGCACCAGTTGGTTGTATGAACATTTTGCGGATCTCCAATACATCAAACAAAATTTCATACCAACAAGATTTTTGCTGTCCTTGATCTTCTATATTATGGGGAGTTTATTCCAGATTTTAAAGATCTGTTTGTATTTGCCTGGGAATAATCACATTATTAGCCCTTATGATACCTCTGAGTTAAGTTGAGTTTCAAAAAATTGAATAAACTACTTATGTCAATAATGTGCATATTCTTTTTCGAAAGCCCACTTGTTGAGTTGACCTATGGGCCAGTTTAAATCCCGATACACCCAACTTGCATGGTTTGCGGGCCGGGATTTTACAGTCCCACGTGGAAATCTTATTTCTATTTTAGTCCTTAGAAAAGTTGGTTGCAAATAGTGAAACAATCTATAGAAGTTTTAGTCCCACAAATCCAGGATTGTTAGAATTTTACAAATAAAAATATGCAGTATCCTGTCACAATTTTTTAATAATCTCTTTAGATTAAAATCACTAAATTTTGACCCATGAGTGCAGCCAACTTGAGATCATGTGACTAAATAGTATTTTGCACCAGAATGGCATTAAATTACAAATTAACACTTTTCAAGAGATGAAAGTATGATTTTTCTTATTTGGTAGTATGATTGTAGCATCCCGTCATATCGCAGCCAGTTGGGTATGCTATTTGATCTTAAATTGGCTCTCAACACGGGTAACCATTTTGAAACTATCTCAAGTAAACTCATTTAACTTTGAACTGTTATTGGGTAGACTTTCGAAAAAAAATGTGCACCTTGTTGATATGAGTTGTATCACTTCTAGTTAATATATAGATATATATATATATATATCAAAATTTTAAAGTTACATATTCCTTGAATCTTGATCATCCAGTAGCCCAAGTATCTTTTCTTTGGGAGACAGTTGATTAGTTATATAAGTGTTGGTAGGAGGTTGATTAGTTCATCAAGGTTTAACTGTGATTTCCAGCGAAATTTGGTACCATCTGTGACGCTCTGGCTTCATAGACACTAGACTGGCTTTACGAATTAACACAATTGATCTTTCCAAGAGGTCACCATTTCTAAAATTTCTCTAAATGTGTCATACCTAGCTTTGAAATTATCTTTAAGGGCTTCCAAAAAGAATGATTCACCTTATTGATACAAGTAGTCATGTCACTCCACTTATTTCAATCCTGCCCCCCACCGGCCACCTGTTTTACTTGATGTCTAATTTTAGCTATTGCTTTATTGGGGAGTTCTGGTAAGAAAGGTCTGTGATTATACTGGATCACATAAAGAAAATGTTGAGAAAGAAAAGCATTTTTCTGGGTATTTCAGCTATATAGGCAGTTTGGCTTTATTTTTTGGAAAGTAGGAATTATTGTTTCTTTGTGAGCTTGACTTGAAAATAATTAGTTCGGTAATGAATCGCTTGTGATGCACAGCTCATTAGGGAAATATTTATTATAAAACCAAAGAAAGGAATCGCAACAGTATGTGACATTTGGTTTTAAACCCCACTTCCTTCCTTTTTAGTGTGGAGTTGATCTTGAAAATTCATCAATTTGGGTTTTACTATTGTCAGGATTACAGTTGCTTCTTTCCATTTTATATTCACTTTTAACTTTTGAAAATTTTAGCTGTTGAAAATACCACTATGCCCTTTTAATCCGGTTTGCTGGATAACGATCCACCGTTGCTGTGTGTGCAATAATTGTGATGCATCTTGCTTATGTTTGATACATGCAGTGGACAAAGATTGACAGGCGTTGCTTACTGATGCCTGAAAATTGAGAGAATGTGTTTACTTGATTTTTTCGATTTGATTTTTGGTTTTTGTTTATACAGTAGTTTAGATGTGATATCTTGTGAGAGGAAATAATATACTGAAATTGTAAAAGATTGAATAGTAAAAATAAATGAAACAAAACTGAACTCCAAGGAAACAAAAGTGCATGTTCACAAGGAAGGTCCATATCAATTTTAATACAATAGTTTTAATTTTTCGTCCTTCTGTGTCTTTTCTAGCCAAAGTGACAATTATTGTCATAAAAGATTTCTGGTTGCCAAAATTATTGAAGTACATTAATACAGAGTTAGATGATGCAACATAAACCTCTATGTCGAACTTCAATTCATGTAATATCATGTGACTAAAATATGTAAGTTTTGATGGTTCTACATATCGTGGGATTACAGTTGTTTTTGTTTACTGTTGGATCAATAAGTACAATCCTCACAATTTTAGCGAGATCAAAATGTTAATTATTTAGGGTGTAGGACCATATATGTTATTTCGCCAAACTGACTCGGAAAATGATTGATTTTAAATTTGTGTCATTAAAAGTGTGTTTGCTTTGCTCATATTACATGCCATGAATAGGATGCAAAAGTGTGCTTGTCCGATGACACAATGCCGGATGGATTCAGTTTGAAGAAAGGTGATATGGTGGCTTATCAACCATATGCAATGGGAAGGATGAAATTCCTATGGGGCGACGATGCAGAAGAGTTTAAACCTGAAAGATGGCTAGATGATAATGGTTGCTTCCAACCAGAGAGTCCCTTCAAATTTACAGCTTTCCAGGTTTGTGGCTTAAAATTCGAATTTGCTTATTCTTAAAATCAATTTCTCTTTGAAATCACATGTGTGAATTGAAGTCTATGTTTAGATAAGAATTTTGGAAGTCTTCGAGGTCAGTTTACACTAACGATTTTAGAACTACAGTAGATTTTTAAAAAAATATCCGATCAAATATATTCTTTTTCTTATAAACTATCACATTAAATACTAACTCCAAAACTCTCTATTTAAACGGTGGATTGCAGATTATAAAAAGTTGAGTATTTGATGTGATATTTTGACATTTGATATTTGATGTGATATTTTTTCTAAAAGTTGTTGATTGATAAATAGTGTCAAAATTCCAGTAGTATTTATATAAACAGAGCTGACTCCATATCCCATAGTCCCAATATGTAGTTTAGGAAGCCTTCAATACGCTCATCAAGTTATTGATTTTGAATGCAAATTTATCTGTCGAATATATGCATACGGGGTTGAATCTAAAGAAAAACAAGCTGTGATTGATGAACAGGCCGGTCCACGTATATGCTTGGGGAAGGAATTTGCTTACAGACAGATGAAGATATTCTCGGTGGTTCTGCTGAGGTTCTTTGTCTTCAAATTAAGCGACGAGAGGCGGACAGTGAGGTACCGTACTATGATCAACCTTCACATCGATGGTGGACTAAGCGTGCGTGCCTTCCACAGACAAGGTTATAAATTCTCATGAATCTTGTATGCATAAATACCGTTATTTGGGATCGCTGTGTAGTTGTTGTTCCAAGCATTGTGTGTCATTCGGACTTGTAAACCGAGTTGTACAACTCAAATAGTTCCAAAAATAACTTGTGTCAATCTTTTTTTTTTTTTTTTTATTTTTTTATGACGTGAGAATCCGCCGCTGCTACTGAAAATGCGCACTATAGATCTGGAGGTGTTGAGGTTTGAATCCATGACAAGTTCACTTCCCACACCACCAGGCCAACTCTTTAAGCGACTTGTGTCAATTTTATTTTCTTAAGTTTCGAGTTGCTAACGAGCCTGATTGAATCTAGCTTTTCATGATTGAGTTTTGCTCGATATGAATTCCAGCTGTGCTAGTGTTTGTTTGCTAATAGATATTATTTGAAGTTTTTATTGAACTTTTATTGTTAATTTTTTTTTTCTTTATGTTTGAATCAATTCAACTAGTAAGTTATTTTGTATTTTATTTAATTTTTAAATATAATTTCAATCATTTATTATTATTATTATTGAATTTTGAGTAAAAATAAAAATTTAGTATAATATCATAATAATATATATTTATTAAAAATAAAATAAAATTTTAGAGGTCATTTTCAATTCACAAATTTCATTTATATAATTTTAACTTTGAAAACGATTCCAACCTTCAAGTTTTTTTTTTTTTTTTAATGAATATTCTTCTAATATTTTATTTTATGTACTTCCTCCGTTTCAATACAATAGTGTTGTTTACTTTTTTTTTTCGTCTCAAACCAATAGTTTTATTTCCATAAATAATCATATCATAGTAAAACTATATCTACTTTTTCATTATTATTACCCACTATTTTTTACACTGATATACTCGCAAGGGTAAAAAATTATTTATTATTATTTTTTACCAACTATCAATATATCCAACACAATAAGACTATACTTTTGGGACAGAGGGAGTATTATTTTAAATAATATTTTATATTTACAATTCACCTTAAATTTTTATATAATTTATATAATTATTACTTAATAATTATGTTTATAATATAATAAAATAATTATATTTTATTCAAAAGAATAATGTTAAAAGTTAAATACTAGAACAAACCTTACATTAAATACGAGAAATTATACTCTTTATTGATTTTAAATGTATATTTTATGTAATTAAATATTTACTTTTATGTATATTTAAATGTCTATTTTTTCACTTTTGTCTAACCCTTTTATTTTGTCAATTTTTTTTTGGAAAAAAATTATTACATTTTAATCTCATTTTAATTTTTTTAACTTATATTTTTTTTTAATTTTAATCAGATTAATTAGTTATCTTACACGATACTTATTTTTACAAATACATTCTTAATTATTTACTAATTATATTTTTCATAAATTTTCGTGTCTACAGTAAAGTAGACACCATAGCCGAGACGGAGGGAGTAACATTTTTCATTTAAAAATATAAAATATTGACAAATGTTAGGTAAATATGGAGCGAAAATAGAGATAAGATAAATCCAAATTGAAACCGAATAACATATTAGAAAATAGATTCAAGTTTCGCATTGCGCACGATCTCCTTGGGATAAATTCGGTCCGCCACCGATTATTTCCCAAGATAAAACGATCCACGCGAGCAAAAATAGGCATGACCCAAAAATCCAATCCAAATTCGACACGAAAAATCGTGTCTGAGTCTAAAAAATAGGTCCAAAAAATTTCAGATAGTGCTTGCCCGGCACGAGTATGAATCGGGCTGTGTCCCGGCCCATCAAGGTCGGGCCATGTTTGGCCCAATCCAATTTTTAAATTAAATAGAATTTATAAAAAAAAATTATAAATATACTAAAAATAAACTTATGTTAAAGAATAAAGATGTAGTTCAATATTTAGGGGTGTTTTGACTATTAGATGCTAGCTTATTTGATTACTTGTTAGCTATTAGCTGATTAGATTAGTTGTTAGCTGTTAGCTTATTCGATTAGCTGATTTGACTAGCGGATTCAGTTAGTTGTTTATGCTAAAGTGTTTGGTAAAATAGTTGTTTGATATTAGTTGTTTATATGCAAAATGATAATTAAAGACATATTGTATTTTATTTTAAAAATATTTAGTTTTTTTTTTTTTTTTGGGTATAGGATTTTTTAGAATTTTTATTATTATTTATTGAAAATTATGAAAGTTCTATTAAAAATATCTATTTTTGTTATTTTTTAAAGAAATTAATGTATTTTTATTAATAAAAATATGAACTTTTTTTCATTAGAAATCGTGTATAAAAATTATACATATTTTTTTTATTAAGTTAATTTTTTATTAATTTATTTTTTATTAAATTCGGAATTTTAAATAAATTTATTCTAATATGTTCGTTATTTATAAAAAAAAATTATGTGAAAATATATAGTATATATACATAAATTAATAATTATTTTAAATTTATAAAAAATAAATTTATAAGTTATTAAAAAATATATTAAAATAATTAATAAATATTGTAATGAAAATTATATTAATGTTTGTGAAAGAAATTATTTATATTTAAGGGCAAATAAAGAATAATTTTCTTAAGAGAAACAATTATTCCTTATAGAACGTTTCAAAAATTAATTTTTTTTAAAATTGGCTTTTGGGGGTCAATATATTATTTCAAAAGACTAATTTATTAAACACTTAAATTAGTTTTTTTCAAATTAGCTTTTTGGAGTCAATATATTATTTCAAAAGGCTAATTTATTAAACACTTAAATTAGTTTCTTGATTAGTCAAATAATTAAAAATCTCACATTTGACATAAATTTTTGTTAAATTATTTTAAAATTCAGAAAAAAAAAATCAAAACTAAAAAATTTAAGTGGGCGAAATGGCCCGAATGACCCGGAACAAAATATCGGGTCGGTACGATTTGTCACCCCTACACTACAAAAAAATAGTATATTTGTAACGGAATTTCGTTACTAAAGATCACGTAACTAACATAATTCCATCATTAATTTCGTCTCTAATATCATTAATATCGGAAAAAGTGAATTTAAAGACGAAAAAATCCCGTTACAAAAATGATATTTTCTTGTAGCGTTGAAACGAATTAAAATTTTTTATCCTTTTGAGAATTCAAGACTGTTAATCAATCAAATAAATAAAATTCAAATTTTTATTTATTTTGGATTAGGCTCGGCCCACGTGGCTCACGAACCCCATGGCTCAAGGCCTTATCTTGACATTCAATATATGAGTTAGATAAGTCCACATCAACCAAGCCCACTCATGGCCGCAATCAAATATCTCATTAATCCATTTAAACAATTTGGGGGCAAATATAATATATGAAATGTTAAATAATTTTGTATTTCTAATGCGGGAAAAGAGCCCCTACATATTCTTCTTCTTCTTTCACTTATTTAATATGCCACAATAAATACGTGAAAAGAACACATAAATATTGGGTATAAAACTTACTTCGAATTTAATCACAAATATTATAATTATTTACTATAAAATACTTTAATACATTGAAGACATAATTTAAATTATAACAAATTTAAAAATTATAAATATTAATTATTAGAATTTTGGGAGAAAATAATGAAATTGTGTTATTAATCATCAAAATAAAAGTGTCTATATGTAGGCAATACAAAACGAACTCGATAGACTCAAATTTAAGTAATCTAATACATGGATAAGGCCAAATCTATATATAAATCAACTAAATTTAAAATCGAATATCTAAAATATCTCAAAATTCCACCTCAAACGGTATAACATAAACCAACTTGAGTTTGATAAGAAAGTTGAATATGAACGGAAAAAACGCAAATAAAAATAAGAGTTGCTTCTCTCCCGTTGCTGCTGCCGCCCTACCATCAAAGCCAGAAACAATGCTCTCAACTGAATTAGAATCGAAAATAACAAAACTCATAATGGAGTAAAAAAAAACATGACTCTCTACTGGAGCCGAAAACGACATGACTCTCTATTGGAGCCGAAAACGACGGAAGTACTCTTCACAAAGTAAAAAAGAATGACTCTCAATGCAATCAGAAACATGGCTCTGGAGAAATGCAGCAGTCGGATCGCAAAATCGCAAACATATGCACAGACATGACTTCAAATATAGACAAAATCAGGACTAAAGACAATCAAAATCAGAAAAAGAAAGGGCTAAAAACTATAGGAAAAATCTAAAAATTAGGAGACCTCCGAGTACATCCCAGGTTGAATACACCTGGAGAAAAGTGGGTTGGTAAGAAGATATATCTATGACATGAGAAACGTAGACTTTGATATCATGTTAGAAATTTTGGGAGGAAAATAATGAAATTGTCTTATTGATCATCAAAATAAAGGGGCCTATATTTATGCAATACAAAATGGACTCGATAGACTCAAATCTAAGTAATCTAATATAAAGATAAGACCAAATCTACATTATGGATCCGTGTGTATATATATATAGTTAGTTAGTTAATTTTATGCATAACCTAGTCTTTTTTTTTAAAAAAAAATAAATAATATGTTATATAATATATAACAAAATATGAAATTACTACTTCTACTAATAATATATAATATATATAAATATGTAGAGAGCTAAATAAATAAATACAAGTGTGTTTATATATATATATATATATGTATGGGTGTGAATATATATAATTTAGAGAGAGAAAGATCAAGAGACGAGAGAGAGAAAGAGCAATTAATTTTTTTTTCTCTTTTCATTCATGGTTATGGCTATTTATAAGCAATATAAATATTGCTTAGTCATCAACTTCATTACATGGCACAAGGTAATTAAGATACATGTATATTGCACATGAATGACACCTATTAATAAAGTGATGTGTCATAACACTCCCCTTTAGATGTCATTTAACTGCAATGAATATGCTTCGTTAAAATCTTACTAGGAAAAAACCCAATGGGACAAAAATCCTAGTTAAGGAAAAAGAGTACGTCATTCATGCATTAAAAATACTTCCCTTGCTGTGGACATCACTTGAAATATTGCTCCCCCTGATGTGGACATCATTTGAAATCTTGCAACCGACGCATCCCGATGATCTTCACTAATTTCTCGAACGTTGCGGTCGGTAAAGCCTTTGTCAACAAGTCTACTAAATTTTGCTTAGTCATCAACTTCATTACATGGCACAAGGTAATTAAGATACATGTATATTGCACATGAATGACACCTATTAATAAAGTGATGTGTCATAACACTCCCCTTTAGATGTCATTTAACTGCAATGAATATGCTTCGTTAAAATCTTACTAGGAAAAAACCCAATGGGACAAAAATCCTAGTTAAGGAAAAAGAGTACGTCATTCATGCATTAAAAATACTTCCCTTGCTGTGGACATCACTTGAAATATTGCTCCCCCTGATGTGGA